CAACCCCCCCAAAGAAAAAAAGAGAGAAGAAAGTGAACAAGAACCAAAGAAAAGAGGAACGTGTAACTGCCATATAGAGGTGAAGCAGAACTCATAATGCTGCTTTTTCATCCAACATTGAGTCATTTAATATTTCGGGCACAAATATAAATGGTGCATTCAGTGTTGTCAAAGGCGCGCTTAAGCCCTAAAGCGAGGCTCAAAACATGTTGAGCGCTTCGCCTCGCTTTGTGGGCGCTTCAGTGTCGCATCAAGGCTCTAAGGCATACTTTTTTTTGTCAATGAGTGTAATCATGAAAAGGCGACACTAAACAATTGATATTTCACTTTATCATAATTGTTTTGTCCATATATTTGTTATTCATGCTTATAATTATTGGTCCTGGACTACATATACATATTTTTACTTTTTCTCCATTTTCGCCTTTTTTCATTAAAGCCCATGCTTTATTTGCGCTTTGTGCTTAAACCCCAACGGGCCTTAGAGCTTTTTTGCGCTTTTCGCCTTTGATAACACTGGGTGCATTGTTCCATTGAATCAGTTGTGCCTATTATGCCTCAAAGCGGAAGTGGTGTAACACCAAAGGTTGAAGGGGAAAGTGAAAGAGAAGAAATGAGAATGGGGATAAACAAATAAATAGAGGTAGAGAGAGATAATAGAAGTATTAGAGAGAAAAAAGAGAAACAGAGAGAGACAAGAAGGAAGAGGAAGAAGAGAGAATGAGAGAGAGAAGAATAGGACGGAAACAGAGAAGGGAAATATGGGAGAGGGGAGGAAGAAGAAGGGTGTTAAAGAGGAATAGAAATTGCAGTACCAAATCCATCAATCCTATATTACTTGAGTCCCTAAACAAAGTACATGAGAGTCTTATTTATAGGTTAGGGAATTCTGAACTTGGAACTTCTAAAAATAGTGCAGCTTTATCTCTAACTAAGAAGATAAGACTAGATGAATATTATCGCTAACCAGATTTTATAAACTAGGTGCGGGCAAGCTAGCCCGGACACGACGGTTATAAAAAAAGATTTTAAAAACTAATAATAAGAAAAGATTTAAAATAAGTCAAAGATAGAGATGGTTGTTCCCTTTTATTTCTTTTTAAACTTTAAAGGTGAACTTTCCTAATCTTCTTGAAAAATTCTGTCATACTTGGCTTACTCGCCTAAAATTTCTATGTATAGGAAGACATTTTTGTGGCAAGAGCACCTGGAAGGCTAGATGTGATGGGTGGAATTGCTGACTACTCTGGAAGCCTTGTTTTACAGGTATCCTACCATTACTTCTTTCACAATGATGCCTATTCTTGTTTGTTAGACTAACTGGTATAAAGACATCCCAAACTTGTAGCTTGAGCTAAGATTGTCTGATTCAGCTTTGAATTTGTGTATGCTTTCTATTTCATTGACCACTTGGTTGCTCTCTGACCGCGCTTTTTGCATTCTGAATATAATTCAAAACCAGCCTTTTAAATGTTAGTTATATTGTTGCTTCCATTTGAAGTAATAGGACATTCTACTTCAGTACTATTACTTTTTTCTTTTTGTGTCTTATATAACATTCATCAAATTTTTTGCATAAACACATGCCAGAATCGTCTACTGCTGTATATGCACTATGCATCTGTCTGTTATCTTAATACAAATATGTTAAATGTACCTACTAATCCTCAATTTCTTGACTTCTTATCTTGTTACTCCACAACTCAGATATTCCAATTTTCTTTGTTTGCCTACCTGTTGTCTATTTAATGTTATCTCATTACCTTTTCCATATACATACTTATTGAAGCTTTCCTATATGCTTTCTGAAAAGGCTTGACTGGTTAAGGGTTGTTCGCTGAAGTTTAAAGAGTAATACTTTCATTGTTCACTTAATGTTGTTGCTCTCACTTCTCGAATTGCTGTGAAACATCCTACAGATGCCAATTAGAGAAGCCTGCCATGTTGCTGTTCAAAAGATTCACCCTAGCAAACAGAGGCTGTGGAAGCATGCTTTGGCTCGGCAGCAGGCCAGAGGACAAGGCCCTACCCCTGTGCTTCAAATTGTATGAAATTCTCACTAATAATTACTTCTTTTAAGCATATGTTAGTGTTGAAGCTGGTGACTCGGTGAAGTTAGCTTTTCTCGTCTATTTTAACCTCAATTGAAGGGACCAGGTTGTAAGTGCAATTTTGAGGTGGTACTAGAATCTCTCACCACTTACGGACACACATGAGAAATTTATAGTCTTTTTCTTTTTGAAATGTGATATAGACTTGGTAGATGTGATAGTTTTTGCCTGTTTCTATGTGGGATTGGGTAGCAAACAAGCTGTTTGAAGTTCTCAGTATCAGGAATCAAAATAATTTCAAGAGCATAGCTGTTTTGATTGCAATCATTATCATTAATTCTCTTGAAGCTTTACCGATTTGTGACTCAATAGGTGTCATATGGGTCAGAACTGAGCAACCGTGGTCCAACGTTTGACATGGACTTATCAGATTTCTTGGAAGGGGATGAACCCATAACTTATGAGAAAGCGAGGCAGTATTTTGCCCGAGATCCTTCCCAAAGGTTTTGCATCCTCTCATTCTGCATTTTCCCTACTTGAATGTCTTATCTTAATGTTATACTAACTTCAATCCAATTTTAGATGGGCTGCATATGTTGCTGGCACAGTTCTAGTTTTGATGAAGGAACTTGGCATATGCTTTGAGAATAGTATTAGTTTGCTGGTCAGTCCAACTCCATTACCCATTGCCTTGTCGTCTCCTAGCTGGAAATTGTTTGCTTTCCATCTATTACTTGAATAACTGAAATTACAGGTGACAGTTCTATGTTTCTCCTCTATGCACCACCATTCAATGGTAACATCTCCATTAACATCCTGATAGTATGTGCTGCTTACGTACTTGTCTCCATTTCATGTGAACATAATTTCATCCTGAAAACTTTTTCTAGTTGAACTTTCGGGTAACTATAAGATTATACCACTCCATAATATCCACTCATGTTGTCATAAACTCACTATTTCAAACAATATTTTTTTCTGACCTGTCAAACTCTCTGATGTGGTCCTTCTGTTAGTTTACAGATATGTACATAATGTAGTCCTTGTAGAGTATAGCTATAAATAAGGACCTCTTGTATTGTATTAAGTATCTAATAGCAATAATATATTTTCTCCCGTGCTTTTCCACATGGTATCAGAGCAATCGTGAGAGATTTATCGCTGTGCATAAATTCCAGCGACTCCGGGAAGAGAAATCAGTCAACCGGAAGTCTTTTATCCGGCAAACACAGGTTGCCGCAGTAAAAAAAAAAGAAGCCATTTTTCGTCAGTGTTGTGCAAAAACCAACACCACCACGAAGTAGATCGGCCTCCGGCGACCAACCTATAAAAATATCTCCGTCAGAAGATCCTCCACGTGCTCCCACGCGCCGCCGGAAGAAATTTTTCCGGCGAAGTTCCGACGTCACGCGTCGGCGTGTGAGGCCCTTTCCGGTCACTTTTTTGAAAAATTTCTTTGGAACAAATTGTTCGCAAGGGAATTCCGAGCCTACCCATCCAGGTTACACCAAATTCCGACCACCTTTATATTTTTCCGGCGTGAACAGTGTTTTTCCCCCGGCAGCTACAGTAAGATTCCGACGACTACAGTACTTCCTTACTCCGTTTCAGTGGATTACAGTTGATTCTTTCTCTTATTTGGTACTACCTCCGTTCCAGTTTATGTGAACCTATTTCCTTTTTGGTCCGTTCTAAAAAGAATGACTCATTTCTAAATTTGGAAACAATTTTGCTTAAACTTACAATTCTACCCTTAATGAGAAACTTTTATAACCACACAAATACTCTGGGTCCCATTTTGAATTGTTTAGGACCACAAATTCCATCTTAAACTTCGTGCTCAGTCAAATAGGTTCACATAAATTGGATTGGAGGGAGTAATAATTTGCAACAATGTCTTTGAGATTTGATGTTTTTGGGTCTAGAAACATGAGTTCTGGAAGCTCTAGTGTTATGATTACCTCGGAACCTTTAATGGGAAGTTTAAACTACTTAGCTTGGGCTTCATCTGTCGAGTTGTGGTGTAAAGGTCAGGGTGTTCAAGATCTTCTAATCAAATAGTCTAGCGAAGAAGATGAAAAGGCGATAGCACTTTGGGCAAAGATCGATGCTCAGTTATGTAGCATCTTGTGGCGATCTATTGATTCCAAGTTGATGCCCTTGTTTCGTCCACTCCAAACATGTTATTTGGTTTGGGCAAAAGCTCGTACCTTATACACTAATGGCAGGAATTAGATATGTCTACTTGGGTCAAGTACATGCAGTCATGGAGGAATTTGAGAAGTTGATGCCAGTTTCTGCTAGTGTTAAAAAACAACAAGAGCAGCGACAGAAGATGTTTCTAGTTCTTACCCTCGCTGGACTTCCTAATGATCTTGATTTAGTACGCGACCAGATTTTGGCTAGTCCGACTGTTCCCACAGTTGATGAAGTATTTTCTCGATTACTCCGCCTTGCTGCAGCACCAAGTCCTTGATTCCTCTGTTCTCGCATCCCAGACAATGGATGTTCGGGCGTCTCAAACTATGGAAAATAGACGAGGAGGTCGTTTTGGAAGATCTAGACCCAAGTGTTTTTATTGTCACAAACTTGGACACACTCTNTTATTGTCACAAACTTGGACACACTCGTGAAATGTGCTATTCCTTATATGGTCGTCCACCCAAAAATGCTTACATTGCTCAGACCGAGACTACATGTAACCAGGGATTTTCTTTATCTAAAGAAGAATATAATGAGCTCCTTCAGTATCGAGCAANGTAAGCAGACATCTCCACAAGTAGCCTCGGTTGCTCAGACTGATACTTCTGTTGCTGGTAATTCTTTTGCTTGTGTTTCCCAGTCTAGTACTCTTGGACCATGGGTCATGGACTCAAGCGCTTCTGATCACATCTCAGGTAATATATCACTTTTGTCGAATATTGTATATTCACAGTCTCTTCTCACTGTTACTTTAGCCAATGGATGTCAAACTAAGGCA